TGAGCTTTATTAGCTCCACCTTGCGGAAATTCCGGATACTATTATTTTGCTTGTCGTATTATAGAAGAATTTACGGTAACTAGCAGTATTTACCGGTAACTCGCAGTATTTACCTGAAGCTTGCGGTAGACTGCGTACAGCGTACCGGTAAATAATGCGGTATCGCCCGCGCATTTTGAATGGCTGCATCTGTACACTTCAGAAACTATTTTAATGAGTGGGAACTGAGTATGTTTAATTTACTTTCTATTCTGTTATCCCTGTGCTGTAATAAATGCAGCAGTACTGTCATATAATAAAGTTTATTATAGGAATAAAAACAAGATGAAGTCATGTTATTAAGTCAATCTAGATACAATGGGCTAGTGTCAATAGTGTCGATGAACAGTCCAGGAAGACAGCATAAAACAGGCAGGTACAGGAGATGATGGACAGAGGTAGAGGAAAAGGGAGAGGTATAAGAAGAGGAAGGCAAGTGCTTCTTATTATCTGGAAAGACCAGATTGGAGCTAAGTATTTGAACTTTGTTAAGAGAGCTTACTATTCTGCTGTTGTTAGGAACTTTATTTTCCTGTGTGAACAATCCCTTGGTTTTAAAATGGTCTCTCCTTTGTTAGTGGGGAGAGGAGTTGCCATTTATTCCATTTTGTGTATTGTATGTTTATGTACTGAGTTGTTTAGTGTGAGTATTGTCAATGTCAACAAATATTTGTTTATCCCAGTGTGCCTGAATTATTATACTCTTACCCCCCAAGCTGTTTCATAGAACAAAGAGCTCACGTGCCTCTAATTATAAAGACAACTCAGGTATATTCTTGGCCAAAAAAAGTTGGGGGTTATGACTATTTATGTATTTATTAATCTGCTTGGTAATTTTCTAATAGTTCTCTATTTTCATAACCCCCCTAATTCTAGCAATGTGTAAAGTACAGAAAATGCACTATAGTAAGAAAATAACTCTAATACAAGGTATATAAGATAAGTTATAATATCAGAACAGTCATCTAATTTATTTGTTTGCACATGCAGTAACTTGTTTTACAGGTGGGAAAACAATGTTTTGTTTTATGTTTACATTATACATTTCTATTTAACATCCTATCAGAAAATCCCAGCACTATTTCTGAAATAATTATAGGAAAAATACTAGCCTGAAAATGCTTGATTTGTAAGGCATTCCTTATTTTCTCCATAAGGTATTAAATGCAATTCACAGAGTCTTCAAGGTACCGAACCCTCACAAATAAAGGGGATTTACTGTATAAATAATTAAATATTTTAAGAACTATTAGTGTAAACTATTACTGGAAGACATATTTGAGGATCACTAGTGATGCATAGACAATTTAAGCTTATAAACCATAGTTTGATTTGATTTTTAACAGTGGACATTGTACCCTCCAATAGAAGTGCATACATGACGTGGTACAAAAGAAAAACAGCATTGATATTTTTATTTTTGTTTTAAGACCTTAAAATATATTTTATTAGCAACATATTATGTTATTATGAACTTAATTACCATCCTATCTTGTCATCAGCAAAATTTCTACAAATAATTATTTTGGATTATTTTCATCCTAGAAAAAGATTTTTGTACTTTGTTTCATGTCAGTGCACAAGTTGATAAATTTTGTTTTTCAGATTTACACTTGTGCAGAAACACACAGTAGAGTTCAATCAGGTAGCCATGGCAAACTCAGAAGGCTCTGAAGTAATGTTGAATCGAGTTATGACGAAAGACAATGTTGGTGTTGCTGTATTGCTGGAGGTGAAGGAAATCTTTGTAGGAGGTAGGATTTTTTTTCTTTCATTTAAGACGGTAATACTGATTTAACATGGTATGAAAACTACTATGGTAGCTTTGATGAGTCAGAAGAATGTAAGTTAATGGGACAGGGTTTGGTTAGGTGTATTTTTAGAGCTTTTTTTAAATTTTTGAAATCGTATTAACATATTTCTGTTTTTTATGGTGAGGCAGTCAGTTAAAATGTCAAACTTTTGAACATTTCCATTTTCATTTATTAGTTTAATAGTTATATTTAGATTTCCCCAAATGAGATACATAAAAGTTGATGGCGTAAATGTTAAAGATAATACATTTTAAAGTTTTGTTCATTTTTTGAGTCATTTAATTATTTGATTTATTGCACTGATTTTTGGAAATAGGTATGGAACCTTTTCCTGAGAAACAGCTCCTTCTAGTGGCTAATGCGCACATGCACTGGGACCCTGAGTACTCTGATGTGAAGTTGATTCAGACAATGATGTTCATCTCTGAACTGAAGAACATTGTGAAGAAGGCCTCCAATTCTGCAAAGTCAGACTCTGCTTGTGACCCTGGATCCATCCCAATAGTCCTCTGTGCAGATCTCAATTCACTGCCAGATTCAGGTATGTTAGGCAAAGAAGAAGTTAAAACGTCAGGACAAACATATTGATTCCGAAGTTTGAGTAACTTGACAGTAGCAGTACAGTCCTCCCACAATAAACTGCTCAATTTAACTAAATGGTTGAGCAAAAAATGATTTAATGGTTACAACAATGAATTTCACAGAGCTCAGGCATTGAATGAAATGTCTTGGCTGTCTTAGAACCCTTTTAAATTAAGAGAAAACTTTTTAATACTGTCGTTGTATTCTAATTTCATAAATATCTAGTTGTAATTTTTTTACATTCATTATTGCTGAAAGACTATAGTTTTATAGTGTTTTACTAATGTTTTGATAGTAGAATTAAGAAACAGCCAAATTTGTGCATTTTTTTCCTTAAGGTGTTGTTGAATATTTGAGCAATGGTGGAGTAGCCGAAAATCACAAGGATTTCAAGGAGCTAAGATACAATGAATGTCTAATGAACTTCAGTTGCAATGGAAAAAATGGGAACTCAGATGGGTGTTTCACACACAACTTCCAGCTCAAGAGCGCTTATGAAAGTAATTTGATGCCTTATACCAATTATACTTATGTGTTCAAGGTAAGATTTGGTATCTTTCGTTACATGCAGATTCAATGGGGGAAAACCCATCAAAAGTTTTATAAAGCTGTCTTTTCCTTTTCTGTTAACCAGTTTATGTTTATTGTAATGCTGGGCCATGTGACATTTATGCTATTTAACATTTATGTGTTGACATAGATCCCTTAAAGTAATTTTAGAATAAGAAGAAGCTTCTTATTAATGCCAGTAATAGCGTAATTTAAAATGTTTTTCACACATAACATTTCCCTCCTTATAACACTATGCCCACCACTGTTTTACTTTTTTTACTTGTACATCTACAAGGAACTCTGAGCTAGGTTATTGCAATATTCTTGATGTGGCTTCTGGAGTAAGTGCACTGCAGTATTTTTCCACATCAGCTCAAAGTTATGTATGTGCCAACATTGATAAATATTGATGTCCATAAATGGTACTGCTCTTAAGATTTCTAACATCTGAAGTTCCATATTAAATTCTAGCAAAGGCAAGACAATGCCAAATGTGAATTACATATGTAAATGTAAATTTACATAATTATTTATTTCTGTAGTAAGTTATTTTATTTGTGTATAATGTAATAAAAAATTAGATTAAGTGAAGATCTTGATCTTTCACATGGATCTCTTGTGCATTTGTTCCAAAACTTGCTTTAACATGATGGTTTTGTTTAAATAAATGCAAATCTTTAGAAATAAGCATTTCTAAATAATTTGTAGTAATCATTTATAAGTAAGAAATTAATAGTAATAATTTGTAAACGTGTTCTGAAATGCTTATTTGCATTGTATGCTCCAATGCAAAGACATTAAAGAAATACCACAAATGTAAACACAGAGCAGCAATAACAACAACAAAGTTAAATGCAAAATACAGCTAAAATAACTGAAAAACAACTCAGCACAAGCAGTTTGAGACAAAAAAAAAACTTCAGTGTGAGTCAGGTGTAGAGATAGAGTTCAATAATTTGACAGCTTGTGGGAATAAATTGTCTTTGCATCTGGAGGTACATGCCTTATGCTCCTATAATGCTTACCAAAGGGGAGGGAAGATAAAAGCGAGTAACCAGGATGATTGTTATCCTTAGCAAGACTTCCATCCTTCCTGAGAGAGTGAATAGTAAAAATGTCCACTACAGAAGCCACTGTACTCCAATAATGGACTGTGCAGGCCTGATGAACTCCTCACAAACCTCACTGTAATACCACCCGTGAGCACACTCTCAATAGCGCACCTGTAAAATGTAGTAAGGATAGTTGAATATAGACCAACTTTTTCAAATGTCTAATGAACTAAGGGAGCTGTTCTGCCTTCTTTGTAGCTCCAGTTTCATGCTGGGACCACACTATCTCACTAGTAATAAAGGTACCCAGGAGCTTGAAGCTGCTAACCATTTCTACAGCCACCCCATTGATGTGAATGTGTGCCCTGATTTCTGAAATTGATAATCAGCTCTTTGGTTTTGCTGACGTTGAGGGAGAGATTATTGTCAAAGCACCAGTCCATCAGGTTCCTGACTTCATCAATGAATAGCATTCTGACATATGTGTATTTATCATCCAAATGAGCCATGGCAGTGTGTAAAGCCAGGGAAATAGCATCTTCATTGGACCTGTTACGTAGGTATGTGTTAACATGCCTCGTAACTAGCCTTTTCAAAGCATTTCATTATGGTAGATGTGAGCATTATCGGTCTGCAATTGTTAAAAAAGGTTGCAGTACTTTTACTTGTGCGATCGTGGTCCTGTTAAAACACATGGGAGCGGAAAATTGTAAACGTTTAAGATGAAAAATATCTGTAAAAGCCATGACCAATTGATCTGCACAGGACTCAAGGACCTGTTCAGAAAAGCTGTCAGGCTGGTCGCCTTCCATATGTTCACTCTTCTGAAAATTGCCCTGATTTCAGCCTCTGTGACAGACACTGCCATATCATCAGTGGCTGGGAACACTGGCGCCGGTGGTTCCATGATTCCCCTCTCAAACCGAACATAATAGGCATTCAGCTCATCCTTTAAAGAGAAATACTGATTTAACACTAGATATAACACTGCTTATTTTAGCTTTACAATTTGTTATAGACTGAATACCCCGCCACATGTGGCACACTTTGAAAGAGGCAGCTTGTATTTCTAGTTTATTTCGATTTTGCCTTTTAACATTCTTGATGGCTCTCTGCAGGTCATACCTTGCCATCTTATAAAGGTCCAGATTACCTGATTTAAAAGACTTTGATCGTGCCCACAGCTTACCCTGCGGTCCATGTGGGTCCTTATGCGCATATATTGTAAACAGGCCCCGTCCTTCGGATGAGAGGTCCTGACTCTCTGTGGTCATCCCAGGGCATTTCTCAAAAAGAGTTGGGATGTAACCCCGGCGTCCTGGCCAAATTTCCCATTGGATCTTCCAATCATGGCCTCCTAATAATACCCATTATCTCATCCCCACTGATAGCTGATGTGTGGTGAGCGTTCTGGCGCACTATGGCTGCCATCGCATCATCCAGGTGGAATGCTGCACATTTGTGGTGGTGGTGGAGGGGAGTCCCCATTACCTGTAAAGCGCTTTGAGTGGAATGTCCAGAAAAAGCTCTATATAAGTGTAGCAATTATTATTATGTTGTTGTTGTCTGTTGTTTAGTGTGTATGTTCATTTTTAATAAATATTTGTTTAACCAAGTGTGCCTGAATTATTTGTTCATCTCTTTGTTTATTATTTGTTCATATAAGAATATGTGTGCGTGGTAAAAAAAATGGCGAAAAAATGGTACAGCCAAACACTGCTGCGACTTTTGTAGTTACTCTACTCCAAAAGAAGCAGGCAGCCACTTACTGTACTTTTTGGACCGGTCTTCCTACAGTCTGCCCTACACTCTACGTTTGGGCTGGTCTCTGGCATGTGCCCTTACCAGTCTGGCTCCTGGTACACTCCTGGTCGACCACCCATAAGAAGTGTACTACTGCTACTGATATTATAACTGACAATAAATATTATTGACACTAAATATTATCGAGTTCAGTAGTGCCATATACAGATGCAGCCATTCAAAGTGCGCGGTACAGACACCGCAGTACAGATACCGCAGGTATGATGACGCG